AAACTAAATTAAAATGATTAAAAATAATAATAATAAAATTTTAAACCCAACATTTTTCATTCATATACTTATCAAGCTTTTTCTTAAACTCGCTTTAATTTACTGCCTCTACAACATCTGAAGGCAACCCATTCCAAAGGCCAACCTCCCTGTTAGAAAAATAAAACTGTCTTAGCTGAAGATTACTCCTATCTTGCCAAAATTTATATTTGTGTCCCCTTGTCCTACTATTCTCATTGTTAAATATAAAAAAAGATCATACATCAACACTATCAATTCCCTTTACAATTTTAAACACTTCAATCAGATCCCTCGTAAGAAACTATTTACGACTCTTTTATTAAATTTTTCTGAAGTGCAGCTGAGTTATTATTACATATTATTTTCTAGAAACATACATCAATTTTTCTAATTGAATTATCTTTCAACAATATGCATTTTATGTAAATATGAATTATGATTTCTTTTTTCAAGAAATTGTTAGCAGACAGGTGCAAATGCCGGGAGTGAGTGTCACAGTGGCTTCATTTCCATTTTTTGTAGTCTGTGGATTTCAGAATGTACAACAACATTATAAACAACAACTGAATATAATTTTTTTGACTTTATAAAGTTTTCATGGTTAATATGGCTGCAGACAACAAACATGTAATAACCATTTCAAGTCCTTTCATATTGTTATTTAAGTGTATGGTTTAAATGTTTTTTTCTTGCTTTTGACATGTTAATTCTTCTCTATAAATGCTATTCAAATATAATACGTTTAGATAACCTGATGTTTAACTTAAATATGCACAAGATTGAAAGTTCTGAATAAGATGTTTCAGGGTTTGATATATGATTGTAAAAGGCACCTAGATAACATGTATGACAAACCCACTACAAATGATATTTATTCAATACCAAGATAAGCAATCATGAGCACACAAGCCACCAACTCAAGGAAGTTTACATAAAGAACAAGAATTCACTCAGAGGCTGGAGTAAAATAAAAAACACATTTATTTGCCATGAAATATATTACACAGTTAATAGAATTGGTAGGTTTTCAAAAATTTATCTAGGTGGCTCATTAGTAACTCAACTATTTGAAGTAAGGTATTCATCAACTCTGTTCAGTTCTGATGGCATATTAAAGTTATGTTATTAGATTATGTGGATATGGCAATATAACAAAGTTTGAGTGGTGAAAGCTATCTAAGGCTGTTAGTACACACATTTTTAGGCTGGATCTTGGGCTTTCTCAGCTAATTGGCTCTCTATATCTACAAACTATGGATTACTGCTTCTCTTTCTAGGACTTCCACTAACCAAACTCTCTCTCTCTCAGCTTTTATAGTATAAAGACAGGATGTTGTGCCAAAAAAGAACAATAACTATAACATGTGATTCTAGCTTTGGCTTAACCATTTTGCACATGATGTCAAAGCATCTAGATTTGTTGGTTCTTTTTAGCATGTCTTTCTGAGTAAAGTAATGGGAATTTTCTGGATGTACCTAGATCTAGGCCACTCGACCTCCAGCCTTGCCTGTGTCTTTCTAGCATCTAACTTTTAGAGCTGGAATTTTCTTTTGTGGTTCCATTGTTTTCTGAACTTATTCCTGGACATGTTACATAATTTCTCACTCACTTTGTAATATCTGTGTCTTACATTTTCTAAGTATCCTGCTGATTTATTGGCTGTATTGACATCTGTTTTACTTGTTAAAAGAATCTTGTAATTACTTCTAATGTCTTAGTCTTGAAATTTCATCTTCAATCTAACACGTGTTGCCGGCCTCATTTTCCACTAACATTCTGTGTTACCTTATATGGCCAACTACACAAATTATATTTATGTGTCTATACAGTTGATATATATTCAGAACTTCTTGAACTCAGAAGAATAAACAAATAAAAATAAAAGAAAATAATTTTAAAAACAAATCATTAACTATACAAGTGATTGTTGCACGATGCTAAAAGTTTATTCATGTTGGAAAGAGTTGCCAAATTAAAAACGTATGTTTTATTGATCAATTATATCGAAACTATAAAAAGTATTTCTTTATTTATTTTGATAAGAACATGATCATACTTTGAAAATAGAACTTAACAGAATAACTTGCAAGTCGTGATGCCCCCACAGTGGTAAGTCTGAAAGTTTTTAAAGCTAAAAATCTGGTTTCAATACCTGTAGTGAGTACAGCACAGATAACTCATTGTATTGCTTTGCTTAGCTACCAACAAACAAGTCTTGAATTTTCTTTCTGAATGACAATGTCATTGTTGAATTTTAAGTTAAGTAGTCACTGTTATTGTGAGCCACGATAGTGGTTCATAATGGGGATCATAAAGGAATTTCAAAAAAATTGTAATAGAACATACGGGCAAAAACCATTTAAAAAGCAGATTTGTTCTTGAAACAACACTCATAACCTTCTATCTCAATGGCTAAGCCTGATAAAATACTGATAGTAGCAAAAAAGTTGATTTTCTGCTTGTTAGACAAGATTCAAAATTCATCCATTTGTTCTTAGTATTATTGTTATTCATATTATTCTTGTTTCACAAGCATACAGAAAATACGGCTATGAATATTTTATTCAAACCTGGGCAAACCTACTAAAAAAACTCCTGTGCAAGTTTTAAGACTATTTTTATGTTGATTCTTGATAGAGAAGGAGACATTTTATCAGTTTTTTTTTCATTGCTACTGGCCAAGTTTCTCTTCGAAGCCATTTAGGCAACAAAGCCTACAGCTACTAAACAAACTCCTGCAAAGGTTGTAGGTCAATTTTTAAGTTGACTCTTGAAAGTTGAGATTTACAACCTATAAAATTTTCTAAGTTCTTTACTACTAATAATGTAAACACTATTTCCATCATAGTTTGTCTACTTTTGTTTAGAGACCCTAGTTGTAGGCTTGAAAATATAATCTTTGCATTTTGATTCAACTTATTTCTGTATTTTTGATGATCTTTATTTCCCTTTTTAAGTTAACAATTTTTGATAATCTTGTTGAAGTCATGTTTTCTTCATAATTTATATGTCAACTTTTTGGTTAAGTACTTACAATCTGTACTTTAGGAATCTTTATATTTATTATTTTTACGATTAACTTTTAGTGAAGTAGTCACTTTTGTTACTGTTAAAAGGGATCATGTTATATTTATTATTTTTATGATTAACTATTGGTGATGTACTCATTATTGTTACTTTTTTCAGTGGTCATGTTTTATTCTTTTATGTGCATGACCACTTTTGCTTTTGGTGATACTGTCATTATTGTTACTGTTTAAAGGAGTACTTGTTTTATTTTGTTATGTGTATGACCACTTTTGCTTTTGATGAAATAGTCACTATTGTTATTATGTACAGGATCATGTTTTGTTTGCAGTTTGCTCTTTGGTGAAGTAGCTAGTCACTGGTGTTTACAGGGACCATGTTTTATTCATAACTTATATGGTTACTTTTTGGTGAATTAGTCACCGTTGTTTACAATGGTCATGTTTTGTTTATATGGTAAAACTGCAATAACAGCAGGTCCTATAAGAAAGTAAGGGGAGTGTTCCATATTTGATAACTTGACTAAATGTTAAGATGTATGAGAAATAAACAAATTTGACACATTTTAAAGAGAGTGAAAACATTCTTTATATGGACACAACAACAAAAAATTGTGTATTTGCATAGACAAGTGGACAATTGTATCTATTGGATCAGTGAATAGGTTGTCAGCTTATTGTCCCTCAAAACGAATCTTTGCCGAATTAGTCATGATGAAAACCAAGTAGAAATGAAAAAATAAAGTACATTCAAATCTAGAATATAAACTTGCTTTATTTGTCCAAAAGATTGCATAACATCATGACCCCTGTGCCCTGACAGCATTGGTCAACTGTCAGTCAAAATCATAATATACCAGCCAAGGATACTTCAGTGCCAACCTATCTAATCTGGACACTTCATACAATGCTGAAACATCCCTGCAGGCAGAGAATATGCCACCTACTAAGAGAACAAAGAAATGAAGCAACTGGAACAAAGCAAAGGTAATGACTTTCTTGACCACGTGTAGCTGCTGTGATAGTGCTAAAACTAAATAATCAAAAATGTAAAAAACTTCTATATCACTATATAAGGTAGAAAATTCATTATGTGCCCGCATATCACACTCCTCCATTCTCTATCTCTCTCAGGCTTATTCTAAGGCCAACAATTAAACTTAACTTTGAAATCAATCATCTTTAAACTTATGATGTGGTTTAGGAGCATGTTAACATTAGTTTATTCATAAAACATGCATGCAACTGTTCAAACCCTTAACAAAAAACAAGGAATTTGTAGGTAAACACTTGCAGAGACAAGAACACCCTTTAACAAAGATAAGAAAGGAACTTTAACATTGAAGACATATAATAAAAGAAGCTTTATCAGCAAATACCTACCACTTTTAAAGGTGGGTAGTCTAACATATGCAGGCATATAAAATAGTAAAAACTTTTAAGGAAGCTAGTAATGAAGATGTACAATTTTTATGTAGAGTTTGTAGGTTGGAGGAAAAGCTAGAGGCAATCTTGATTAAAGTAGATGCAATAGATAAAGAGAAGTGTAGATTGTGGGAAATGGCAGCAGGATTTTAGGAGGAGCTTAAGCTTTTACATGCAAGGGATACATCAGCTAGCAATGACTTTAAGGAAGTTAGAAAGAGTACTGTTAGGGCTAAAAGTGGTGAATTTAGTTATAATGAGCCTATTCTGTTGAGCAACAAATTTCAGCCCTTGGCTTCTGCAGATGGGGAATTATTGGAGGGAAAGAAAACAAAAGGATCAGAGAAGGATGTGGACGATAAGGAGGTTATAGTTATAGGTGATTCGTTGATAAGGCATGTGGATAGAATAGTCTGTGGGGTAAATAGGGAGAAAATAATCAGATTATGCTACCCAGGGGCACAGGTGGAGAATATAACTGACAGAGCAAGAGATATAACAAAGGGGGCTAGCAGAGATGCAGTTTTTCTAGTGCATGTAGGGGCTAATGATGTAGGGAAAGGTGGGTCAGAGGAGCTAATTAATAAGTATAAGGGGTTGATAAAGGCACTTAAAGAAAATGGCCAAAATTTATCTTTGTCAGGGATACTGCCCAGAATTAACTGTGGGGATGAAGTTATAAGTAGGTCATCAGGGCTAAATGCTAGGCTTAGATTAGTATTAGCAGGTTGGCTGGTTGGACTTGTTGGATCAGCTCAGTGGGAGAAGGGAGCTTTTTTTTCAATGGATAGTTCACATTTAAATAAAGTAGGGGCTGGCTTGTTTGCTAAGGCTATTAACTCAGCTGTAAGGGAAGTTTTAAACTAGGACTAAACAGTTGTGAGGGCGAAGAAAAGCTGAATGCAAATGAGTATAGAAGTAGTTATAAGGATAGGCTTAATTGTTACTATTTTAATACTAGAAGTATAAGAAATAAAATAGATGATTTTAGAGCACTGGCAGCAATGGAAGATTTTGATATAATGGGAATAACTGAAACTGGTTAAACATAGATGATTTTGATGACAGAAAATGTTTTGAAATACAGGGTTACAGGCTATTTAATAGGGATAGAGTATTAAAGAGGTGAGGAGGAGTGGCTTTATATGTAAAATGTGAGTTACATCCTGTTGATGTTGAGGATATCAAAGATAATAGCAAGAAGATTGAATCCATCAGGATTTCTGTTAGTGGATATAAAAGGAAAAGGCTTTTAGTGGGAATTTGTTTCAGACCACCAAATGATACTGATGAAATTAATGAGAAACTTTACAACGAGATGAAGATTTCAGCTGTTAATGAAGTCATGATTATGGGTGATTTTAATTTTAGGCATATAGATT